TACATAAACACACTTCCTCTGAAATTTTACAGAGTTTTGGACAGTTTTCAAAATGTTTTTGAAGTTCAACTTTAAATACTGTGACTTGATCTTGTCACTTGTTATATTTGTCAAAATGTCTGAAGCTAGGTTTGCTGATCGATATCTACATGGAAGACATGGAAAGAAGTACAGAATGTTCTGTATTAATTTTGGCCTTACATTTGTAAGGGGAGATATATCTGAAATGAAAGATAATTCTAGCAACTTCTTCAAACTCCATTTTTAACCCCAAATTCCTTTTAAGTTAGAAATCTGCCAGATGAGTTCAAGTACACAGCACCTAAATCCCAGAAACCTAACAGTACAAATTGAATGGGCGAGTTTCTCTCCTGGGGAACCTGCAATCTTATTACCATTGTAAATCGAAGCAAAATGCAGGACAATGTAGCACTTTAAAGACTAACAAGATGGTTTATTAGATGATGAGCTTTTGTGGGCCAGACCCACTTCCTCAGATCAAATAGTGGAAGAAAGTAGTCACAACCATATATACCAAAGGATACAATTAAAAAAATGAACAAATATGAAAAGGACAAATCACATTGTAGAACAGAAGGGAGATGCGGGGGGGTGGGAAGGGGAAGGAAGGAAGGGAAGTGTCTGTGAATTGCTGATATTAAAGGTAGGGAGAGTGGGATGTTTGTGAGTTAATGGTATTACAGGTGATAATTGGGGAAACTGTCTTGGTAATGGGTGAGAAAGTTCAAATTCTTGTTAAGTCCTTGTTGGCAAGTGTCGAATTTTAACATGAATGACAGTTTGTTAGTCTTTAAAGTGCTACATTGTCCTGCATTTTGCTTCAACTACCTCAGACTAACACGGCTACATTTCTATCACCATTGTAAATCGGGCTTTCACAAACCTTTATAATAGTCTACCCTACACCTACTCTTATTCATAGACAGACCACATGTTTACCTAGAGCACAGAAGGACTCACTTTCCTAGGGACATATCTACCACCTCTTTAATGGCTCCTTTTCATTTGGCCCCTCCTTTCATCCCTCCAAAAGACAGTTGAGGGAATGAGTAGTTTAACCCAGTGATTTTCAAAGTATGGTTCATGGCCCAGTACTGGGTTGCCGAAAGACAGGCACTGGGTCACCATGTTATAGGGTGACAAGGTGACTACAGTGGTGCTAAGGCCAGCTTCCTGCCTGTTCTGGCACTGTGCATCATGCTGTGCCCTGGAATCAGTCAGCAGCAGGTCAGGTTCCTAGGTGAAGGAAAGTAGCCAACTCTCACAAAATGAAAGAAGTGAAACAGGCAAAAAAAATGAAGCTAATCCCATTTCAAAACAAATCCAAAATGAGTTCCGTCCATTTTTGCTCAGCAATACTTGAAGACAAAGGAACTGGTCAACAGGAGTGTGGAACTAAAGCTTGGGGTGGGGACAGCCTGTGGAGCTGGTCCTGCTGATGGCCATTTCCAGGGTGCAGTGTGGCCCACTGTGCCAGGACAGGAAGGAGGTCTGCCTTACCATCCACTGCCCCAGTGACCAGGAGCTGCTGGAGGGTAAGCCTGAGCCCCAACAGGCTGGCCCAGCCTGTCATAGCCCTGAGCCCTCCCAAACCCAGAAATCCCTCATGCACCCCAAACACCTCCTCCCTGTCCCCATCCCATAGCCTGCACCCCTAGACAGAGCCTACGTCCTCTGGGCCCCACCCACATGTCCCAGTCCAGAGTCCCTGGTCACATACTAAACCCCTCTGCCTTACCCCTCCAGCATATACCCCAAACACCTCATCTCTGGCCCCACCCCAGAGCCCACACCCCTAGACAAAGCCTTCATCCCTCACACTCTTCCTCACTCCAAACCCCTCATACCCATCCTGGAGCCTGCACTCCAGTCAGAAGATAAAATTATGCTGGGGCTGGGCATCAACAATTTTCTTCAGCTGGGTCATGAGAAAAAAACCTTTGAAAATCACTCTCTTAACCTACAGGTAGTTTAATAGTGGTTTTCCACATGTTTTCCCTCCCTCTCCACCCATCCACTTCCCAGGCGAGGGGTGAAGCGACTACTTGTTTGGAGAAGCAAGTTTAGGAAGCGTCAGCAACAACAAGTGAGGAGTTTGAAAGTAGGAGAGAAACCATAGCAAGATGGAGAGGGAGACCCCCGGCAGTTAAGAGCAAGGTTGAACTCTGAAGAGTGATGTGGCACTAACTTCCTTCTCCATTTTATTGATCATTTAGTAGAAATGAACAAGTCTTAATGCCAACTGCTTGGAATGTTATTTTCAGCTTGAAAGAACAAAGCTTCTTCTGATTTCATTTACACTAATTTAAAGCAGAAATTAGTCCACTGAAGTCAAGGGTATTACATTTGTGTAAATGAGCTCAGAATCTGCCCTTAGCTGTCCAGGAACTTTAAACCAATCGATGGATTTTGAACAGTTGTAGGGCTAGGTAATATCACGCAAACATGAAGAGAGCCAGAATTATTGTTATTGATAATCTTTTATGGTGTTCTAAATGCATGTGGCATTGTAAATGTAGTAAGTCAGTGCCAAAGAGTTAATAGGATTATTTCCACGCCATCTATAATACAAAAGCTTCAGAGGGGTAGCCGAGTTAGTCTGTAACAGGAAAAACATAAACCACAAGAAATAGTCTAGTAGCACTTTAAAGACTAACAAAGCATGTAGATGGTATCATGAGCTTTCATGGGCACAGCCCAGTTCTTCAGATGACAATAGTGTTAGATATCCAGATCCAAGAATAAATAAGGGAAGGAGAGAGCGGGGGAGAAGGAAAAAGAAGGGGGAAAAAGGAGGAAAAAAGGGGGGAGAGGAAGAAAAAAAGAGAGACAGTGAGTAGATAAGCTTCAAAGGGGTAGCCGAGTTAGTTTGTAACAGGAAAAACTTAAAAAACAAATAGTCTAATAGCACCTCCTCCCCTTCACTTATTTATTCTTTTATCTGGATTTCTAACACTCCTGTCATCTGAAGAAGTGGGTTGTGCCCACGAAAGCTCATGATACCATCTACATGTTTTGTTAGTCTTTAAGGTGCTACTAGACTATTTGTTGTTTTTTTAAATCTATAATACAGTCATGTGTTCATATTCTTTTACAAGAAAAATGTTATTGCGGTGAATTCAAAACTTTATGAAACAAATTGATGACAATATGTATGAAATTACATTAAAAAACCTTTTCATTATTTTAACCCATCATTTTGATTACAATCAACCTGTTCACTTCTGTACAGTGACATAAATACAAATCCAGTAATGTTTTGTTGAGAGAAAGTAAAGACATCTGCAGGTGCAACTTACAAACTAACAATTGCCCATGTTTCTCTCCCAGGAGAACAAGTTTGTTTATATGATGAACATCTGTGTTGCAGATGAAAGGCACTGGATAAAATGTAAGCATTAATAATTATTAGGCACCTTATTAGTTATCATGATTTTTGGCATTTACTTTAAACCTGCTACTGTATTTTTCTAGAATTCCAGTGCTATTAAGATAATATTTTCAGAGGCATAAACAATAATTCAGTGCCTCAATTAACTTTCAATGAATATTAGATATTTCTATCTTTGAAAAACCTTTCCTTTAAAGACTAAGGGAACATTTTTCAAAAACACCATAGTTTCTCATTGTAAATTAAAGAGATTTTGTCTCTTAAGGCTCAGATTTTTCTAAATATTCAGGCATTGCTGTACCCAGTGTTGCAGTGCCTACATGATTTAAGAACATCTAATTTCAGTGATTTTCAATGAGATTTGCACTCTTTAGACTCCTGATCTCATCGAAAATCACTTTTCAAAATGAGATTTATGGTCCTAAATCATTTAGGTGATGCAACACTGAGCAGAGCAATACCTGAACACTTTAAAATTATGGGTCTTCAACATATTTTATTTTACATTTGTTAAATCCTCTTTTTCCCTAAGGCTATGTGTATACAGCATCATTATTTCTGAATATTTCACACTTCTCCAAAATAACAAAGATTGGGTCTACACTGAAGGTCATTATTTCGAAACAATGGCAAACTGGAGGAATTCTTATTCTGACTCCTTTAACCCTCATTTCATGAGGAGTAAGG